AATTGGCGATGCCTGTCTGGTCTACTTGGATGACATCATCATCGTAGGCCGTACGTTTGAGGAACACCTTCAAAACCGGGGACGCGTGCTCACGAAGATCCAGAGTGCCAACCTCAAGTTGAGTCCGAAGAAATGTCCACTATTCAAACGGCAAGTTAGCTTTTTGGGGTATGTAGTGTCGGAAGAAGGTATCCGCACGGATCCAGAGAAAATTGCCGCTGTTAAAGATTGGCTAGTGCCAAAAGACCAGACGCAGGTTAGAGCATTTTTGGGTTTGTGCTCCTATTAACGGCGATTTGTGGAGAACTTTGCAGATATAGCCAAACCTCTGCACAATCTGTTCAAGGGGAAGCGATATTTCTGCTGGGATGAAAGTTGCGATATCGCATTCCAGGAGCTCAAGGACCATCTGTGCAAAACACCTATTTTGGGGTACCCTGATGCAGGCAAGGCATTTATAGTTGACACAGACGCAAGTGATATAGGACTTGGTGGTGTGTTGTCTCAACGGAATAGTGATCAAGAGGTTGTGATAGCGTACTTCAGTAAAGCGTTGGCAAAGCCGGAAAGGAACTATTGTGTCACAAGACGGGAATTGCTTGCTGGCATTGTCATTGCAGCATTTTAGCAAATATCTTCTGGGGCGGAAATTTCACTTACGAACTGACCATGCTGCACTAAAATGCCTATTGCAGTTCAAAAATCCAGAAGAACAAGTTGCGAGATGGATTGAACTACTGCAGGAATACGACTTTGTTATTGAACATCACAGCGGGAAATCTCATGGCAACGCAGATGCATTGTCAAAAAGAAGATATTTGTAATAGGCAAGAGGGCAAGGAAGTGGTATCTGTGACGAGGCTCAGGACAGACCAGCTCAGCAATGAGTGGAAGGACAGCCTACGATATGCACAGCAGGAAGATTCGGATATCAAGCCGATTCTGGAATGAATGGCGGCCAGTGCTCCTAAGCCCATGTGGAGCGACGTCTCAGCGATGAGTCCAACCATGAAAAGCTATTGGGCCCAATGGGACAGCTTGCTCATTTGGGATGTAGAGTCCTGTGCCGTAAATGGGAAAATGGTCGGGGAGACAATTGCCATTTGCAAATGTTTGTCCCTACAGCTAAAGTACCGGATGTTCTACAGCTGTACCATAATGGTTGTGGAGGCCAGGAGGCCATCTGGGAGTTATAAGAACTCTACTGAAGGTCCGAGAACGGTTTTACTGGGTCCACTGTCGTGACGATGCCGAGGACTGGTGTCGCAAATGAGTACAAGTTGAGCGGTTGTAAAGTTACCTCAGACTCGTAGTAGAGGTGTATTGAAATTGTACAATATTGGTGCACCATGGGATAGGATAGCTCTTGACGTTGCGGGGCCGTTTCCGGAAAGTGAAAGTGGTAACAAGTATTTCATGGTGATGGATTACTTCACTAAGTGGCCAGAAGTCTTCGCCATTCCAAATCAAGAAGCTTCAACAGTTGCGGATAAACTATTTCATGAAGTTTTCTGTCGTTTTGGAGTACCTTTAGAGACTCACAGCGATCAAGGAAGAATTTTGAGTCTCAAATATTCCAGGAAACTTGCCAAGTTATGGGTACTCATAAAACAAGAACAACTTCTTACCACCCACAATCTGATGGAATGGTAGAACGATTTCATCAGATATTGGAGAGGTACCTAGCAAAAGTTGTGGAAAATCGGCAACGGGACTGGGACAAGTACATACAACCGTTTTTATTGTCATATCGAAGCGCCGTTCAAACTTTGGAAGAGAATTACGGCTGCCTGCAGACCTGATCACCAGAATACCACCTGATGCCCTACGCAGTATAACCGTTTATGCAAATGACTTGCGGAACAAAATGAACGACATTTATGAGCACGTCAGATAATCGGACCAGCTAATGTCTGAAAAGATGAAAACCCGGTATGACCGAAAATGAACAACAAAGTGTTCGACGAAGGTTCACTAGTATGGTTGCACAATCCAGTTCGCAGCAAAGGGAAATCTCCTAAGCTTCAAGCTAAATGGGACGCACCGTACCAAATTGTGACAAGGATCAATGATGTAACCTACCGGATACAGAAAGGTGCAAGAGGTACTCCTAAGATCGTCCATGTGGATCGAATAGCGCGTTATTATAGGGCCAATAATGCTCGGGATGGGCATGTCTTAGGGGGAGGCAGTGTTGCGCGCCACAATTAATGGAAGGTACATGGCAACTCTAGTTACCACTAGCGCTCTCTAGTATCGAGTAGCAGAACTAGGAGAATCAAGACCCTTCTAGAAATTTCCATGGAAGAACTTTCTAGAACTATCGATACCTAGTCAATCGGGACCGATATGTACTCGAACATTCTAGAAATTTCTATAGCAGAAGGTTCTGGAAATTATCTGAGGCCCTATATAAGGTCGGTATAGACCGCGACTGGAGCAGTATTGAATTGGCGATACAAGCGAATACTTGGAAGCGATATAACTGCGAACTAAAGTGATCAGTAGTACAATTGTGTTTTATTATTAGTGTCCTTGTAAGTTGTGATTACTGTTCTGTAATTAAAGTGTCAAGTTTGGTAAATCACTCGGCAGTTTGTAATTGTCTCGAACCACAAGCTTGTAACAGTAGTAATTACTCTGAGGTCTGGACACACTACTTCTAGACACTCTAATTATTCCTTCTTTTTAATTTTTTTTAAATAGTCCTATAAAAAGTTACGGCCTAGAACATTATTATAGTTGTTTTATACAGGTTGGGTAGAATAAAAGTTGTTTTAAAGGTTGCAAAGCCTTAAAAGGGGATGCTTAAAAATTATTTACCTATTACTGTTTTGCCAAAATAAAAATGACGTTACAAAATGCGATTCAAATAAGAATAGTATATCTCTCTATGTCTATGATAATAATCTAGGAAGAATAGGAACGTCAATGACCTCGAATGAACGCGATCTGTCAACTGTCACTTCAAAAGTGCGGCTTGCAAAGACATTAACTATCGTATTAATAACGTCTTTTTTTGCTTCATTTAACTGAGTCTTAGTGTTACCAAATCTATTATATCAAACTAAATATCTTATATTGAACCAATAATTATTTTAATAAATTAATTTAAAATATTGATATTAATCGGTGGAATATTGTAAATAGTAGGTATTTAAATACAGGTTTTATTTTTATAAGAGAACGCGGCAATGATAATAATGAAGACAAAAAGATTACTCAGACAGTGATCCAGAGATAGCGAAATTGAAATGCTAAATTCAGATTAATACTTTTTCGTTCATAGTTCTTTTGTAAATAAATATTATTTAAAAATATCTGTTTTGCTTACCCCACTGAACTAGTTTGAATAGACAGCTAGTATGTCACAATATGGCGCCAGGTCAGTCCTATTCTTATTTTAATAGCATATTGCTATAGACTTAGAATATACTGGCGTATAGACCATCTCACAGCGCGAAAATGTGTATTGTCCGTTCATCGTAACTTGACGCGTAAGCTGGTTGTCAGCACTGTAATTTGCAGTGTTGCATGCTTCAATACGAATAGCGTACATGAAAGCGAACCGGAAAAGCATGTATGACATGCATGTCAAGCACGAGGTTGCGGGTTCAAACCTGGCTTATACGGTCTAACGAACTTTGCGCTAACAATTAAATTTTGAAAATGAATTTATTTCGTAGAGGAATAAGGGCATTAATTAAGTAATTTAAATGTTGCTACTGATGTGCTGATATATATATTTTTAAGTATCATAGTGTAGTCTATGAAATTATTCAAACGTCATTTGAAATAATCAGGATAAATTAATTAAGATAGAGTAGTAAAGAATTACTTTATATAATTATGATCAATAAGGTGTAAAGGAATCATATCTTCTTCAATGTTACTTGAATGATCACTGTCACTTTCACTTTCATCACTATCACTGCCAACCCACAATAAAAAGCGATCACTTCCTTCATCCATTATTTTATCTTTGACTATGTACTCATCTTCAATTTTTATAACATGTGAGCACTTCTTTTTCCAAAGCTCATTGTTTATTGAACCAAACCCTTCTTTTATAAGTGATTCCATTTGATCATCTCTCTGGCCGGCATTTTTCTCTGCGAAACATCTCATCACAAAACTCCATATTAACTCAATTGGATTTAAATCAGCATGATATGGGGGAAGTCGCAAAACAAAAAAACCATGTGATTTTATTAATTCGTCAGCCTTATATATGGGCTCTGGTTTTTTTTATTAATTCATATAAAGAATTTTTGCCAAATTAGGTGAAAACAACAGCCCCTTGTCCCTTGTTTTGAAGCCACTCTACCATATCTGCTTTGAGGTTCGCCATATTAGGGCTTTTATTTATTTGTAAAGTATGATATGGTGCATTGTCCATTACAATCACACAATTAGGTGGCAGGTTTGGTAAAACTTATTTTTCCAGCCATTTTATAAAGTTGTCGCTATTCATGTCGTCATGGTAGTCGGATGATTTTGTTTGCGACTTAAATAGCAGTAACGCATTATTAATGAAGCCGTCTGTAGTTCCAGCGTGTGCAATTATCCATCGTCTACCCGCACCAGAATCTCTGACCAATACACCTTCTTCAGACTCTGACTGCCAACATTTTAGCATCCAATATGAGGAATGAATAAACATCTAAATAGACAATAGTCCGCTCCTCTTCTCGATATTTTTTGATTTCATTCAAATAATTAAATCGCCTGGCAGCTATATCTGTTCGCTCCACTAACATTTTTCGTTTGGATTGACACATTTTATATTTATATCCGAGTCGTTTTAATATTTTCCATAGTGTAGTACGCCCACTCTTCAAAACTTATTTCATCTCGCAATTCGATAAGTAATTTGTGTAACGTAGGAATTTCTTTTCGTACAGTGTAAAATTACATAATTTTTTGTCGAATTGCACAAGCATCGAAGTCATCAATTTTGACCTTCTTATCACGATTTGGTTGTTTTTTTCCAGGTGTTGTTACTTTTGACGGACCAGGCACACCCTTGAAACTGAACCGGTCTCTCTTTCTTGCCTTAAAAATTGGGTAAAAGTAGATTCGGATACATCTGTAATCATTAAACAAATGCAATTTTATTTCACTAGTTTATAATTTTTTTATATTTTAGTAAGTGACGTTATATATATAAAGCTAACGCTAACGCGACTCAATAATTCAAATAATTCATCTTCTGAGTCACTAGAATAGCTTTCACTATACATAATATACTTACTCACATACAAATAGTTTAGTATCATCTAGCGAAATAGATAAACATATTTAAAATATGACCCATTACCATGGGGTACTGTAAAGGTTAGTCTAAATCATTGTAACTGGTTACCCTATAAACATACCGGTCATGGCGGCAAGTCTTGCACGAACTTGTTGCAAAGGAACAATCAACTTGTTTTCAGCCTTTTCTTTTTCACAAAATGCGTAAACTTGAAGAATAGTTTCCCTTTTAGCACTTTTTACCACTTTAGGCATTTTTAAAACTAAGATTAAATTATTATTAAAAAGCAAACGAGCACATCGACAGCAATCGATCAAACTAAAAGAAAGATGGCGACTGAGCAGGGTGATATAGTGCCACCAACTTATCTGTTCAGTTAACTGCGTCGCTAGTGGAGTGCTTACTATTGCCATTTAAGAAATTCACCGAGGAATGAGGTAACTACATATTCATTACACATAATATAAAATAAAACAAATTTCGTGTTAATATATTAAAATTAGTGAGAAGTAGTGTTATTATTTATATTTTATAAAAATAATTGTGGTCGTGATCTCGGAGTTCAAGCGGCCGAATTTCAGGAATTTCTGTTTTGAAAAATGTACCCGCGTAGCTAACGCGACTGAATAATTCCAATAATTCATCTTCTGACTCACTAGAATAGCTTTCACCATTGCTGACACTCTATAATAAAGGGTTCATTTAAATACGCGTCTTTTAGTCTGTATTCATTTTCAATTTTTTTTTACATGATTACAAATGTTTTTCCACTGCACCGGTGTAATTTTATGATATTAATCTTCAATTAATTGGGGCATTAGAACATTAGCAACACAAACTACAAATCTAGGTACTCAGATGAATTGCAGTAAATTGAGATATTTTTTTTACTGTTTCACAAGTACATTATTTGGTGACTTTAATTTTCCATATCTGGCAATACTAACCTGTCGCGGCAGCTACGCGTTCATACAGCTTTTCAAATGGTATATTTGGGACTTGTACACGTTTCTCTTGTTTCATAAAAAATAAAACTTTTAGGATAATCTATCGCGCATCACTTTTAAGACCTTTCGGAATTTTATTTACACTTTTTAAAAGCACAATATTGTGGTAAGTCTATAAGCATTTTGAATTTATTGGCCGTTATTTGTAGGGATTATTACTATAATGACTCGAATTGTATCTGTTTCAGATCACGTATTTGGGCTGAGTTAAGTTTTCATCATGAGAATTTTGCTGATTTAAATTTACGTTAATGTTATGTGAAGAATATCTCTCTGACAATATATCAGTAACAAGCGTGGAAATATTATGTACAAAAGCAATAAAAGACATCAATAATAATGTATAGTTTATAAAACAGTCTTCCAGAAAACAAAATTACATAACTATACTTATTTATAGTTTTATTTTATCCCACATACTAATCTAAAGTATATTCGAGTAATTTTGGTGCAACCTCTCAAATACGAGTATATGGGAATTTACCCCATATGTTTGTGAGTCTTGGCCCAAAATTACTCGAATATGCATTAAATAAAAAGTTTTAAGTTACAGAAAACAAAGGTTTGAAATTCCCGCTAAAAAGTTTTATATGGGCGTCCCCTGTAGCGCTTTTAGTGTACACTCATAAACACGTGTTTCCGATTTTTAGTATGAAGTTGGCGTTCTTATCTTGTTAGAGAGTAATTGTGTTCTGTGCGACTGAGTAAACAGTGCTACCAACCACTCACGCGTGAAGTTAAGATGAACGGACAATAATCAATTTTGATTAGCTTGCTACATATATATTTATCTATGCACACTGTTTGACAGCGTCAATGGCTACCCGGGTGGTGTGCAAAGAGGAAAGTTAAGACGAGCGGTTAAACAAAATTCACAACATCACACTTTTTGGATTGAGGCCATTAATAAAATTAAAAAAAATGGTTTTTGTAGACACCAGTAGCAAACATGCTACAAAAGCAGGAAAACCTCGACTTGTGCGAGTGCCATCCTAACAAGGATGTTTTATAAGGGTCTCCAAATTGTTATTTGAACAGTATAATGTAGAATATTATTATCCGAGGAATATTAATCAAGACCCATTAGAAAATTTTTTTGGCCTTATAAGAGCTATAAATTATAGAAATGTTACCCAGATGCAAACACATTTATATATGCCTTTAAATCTTTGATGTTATCTAACATGCTTAGTCCACATTCCAAATTCTCTAACTGTGAAGAGGATAATGGAGAAACATTATTAAATGTTAGTCTTCTTTTTAAAAACCTTCATAATAATAAAGAAAATGACTCGGAAAACACTGTCAGTGTTTCGCGAGATCTCCCATCTTCTTCACAAGCAAGTTCAAGAGAAAAGTTGCTGGTGAATGATGTAGTCATGGAAAAAATCAAAGTCCACTGCTCAGCTTACACTGCTGGATACATTTGTCGGAAAATAACGAGAGCGATTCGTTGTAAGGATTGCATCAAAACATATATTAGCAGTACGGAGACAAACATTCACTCTTACATTAAATTTAGAGAGTATAAATTGTTAAAAAATAATAATTTGGCATACCCTAACGAAAAATGCCTTATCTTGTACAGGGATGGTACTCACTTTATTCATAACTATTTGAATTATAGCTGTATTGGAAGTAATATAAAAAGTAATTTGAAAAGAAAAATATTGAGCACTTTGAGTTTTTCCTGCCTAGGGTGTGATAAGCATGCCTTAATTGTAAAAAAACTTTTTCACCAATATTTTAATTAGATTACATGGACACAATTGGTGCAACATAAACAATAAAATATTGAAGGGTGATATTGATGAAAAATATGTATCTAAAATGGGTGAACCCCAAAAATTGGCCTTAAAGAAGTATAAAAGTCTTAGGTTAAGAAAAAAATGTTTAAGTAAATAAAATGTTGATGAAGTGACGACCTGGATATGCAGGTGGCTTAGGACCGTGCTTTGTGACATTTCTTGGGGGAAGCCTACGGTTAGCAGTGGACTTGTGAAGCGCTGTAATGATGACGGTGGTTAAATAGAATGTTCGGATTCCTGAAACGTAAACGCTGTTTCAGGTCCCCGCAAACCAAGTATATAACGAGGCGATATTGCGAATAGCTATGTTGTGTGTGCCGGAAAGGTACGTGTGGTGCCGGAAGCGGCCCCCACCATTCGAGACACCGCGCGAACGTAACTTCCAAACGAGGCCCACTGACCCGAGTGCTGCACACTAAATAAAGTAGCTCAGGATGTAGATTTATTCTGCTGTTCCTTGGGTGAATTTACCTAAGTGACATTATATTATGTATTATGTTATAATAGTAGATAAGTTGTGTTCTGTCCTTATTAAATTAGATAGTTTTATATGCCTACACTGTCGTATTAGGTACGCCTGTAAAGACAGAGGTAGAAATAAATAAATAAATAAATAAAGTTACTCCCTAAAAATCTCTGGTCTGTAGCAACCTAGAATATGCTTCTATAGCGCGGAGTCGATTTTATGCTATATTACGCTATTAGCATCTTGAGCATACTTGTTATTTTTAATGTTGATGTCGATATTTGTTTATTTTTCAGATGCTTATCATGGAACAACCTCCAAGTGAAAGTACCAACACAAAGGAGATAAATGTTCTTTTTAAAAGTAATTTATGTTACCATATAACTTAGTTATATGATAATATAGATTACTTTTTAATTACGATTATACTAAACTGTCGTTAACAGTAGCCATACAGAGTTAATACATACAATATAGATGTATACATTATATATTTATTCTTTAATTTTGGGTTTATGTATAAGAGCATAAAATTCACAAATATTGTTTGTTTTCAGGAATAGAAATCTGATGTGAAAAGCTGATGTAGTGAGACAAATGTTGCCAGAAGATACAAAATGTACACATTGGCAAAATGGTATGATAAATTCAGTTTATTCTTATACATAATTAGGCAAAATTTCAACATATCTATTATATCTATATTCAGCATATCTGTTCTCAAATCACAATAAGAATTCTTTATTCTTCATCTAATCTAAAGATTACAGTTCCACTACACTTCAATGGTTTTATCAACAACTCCTTTAGTATTAAGGTTACACTAATTTGGAACTCTGTGCCTGAAGACATTGAGAAAGCTCCTGATAATGGATGTATACAATGTTAATATTTATATATTTTTTATTTCTTATTTACTGCATCTACCACTTTACACCACACCATGGTTGACCGAAAGAAAATGCCAACTGCCATGAAGCCGCCCTATTTTACCTTAATATGAATAATATATGATTTATGATTATCATTCAGTCATAAAATATGAATATTGGACTTTATTTTTATTTATTTCTTTTCAGGTTACGTGGTGAAGAAAATGAAATAAAAGAAGAGATGTTAAAATTTTAAAAAAAGGTTGTAACTTGTAGGTGAACAATCCTCACAAAGACTTGCTTAATGTCCAATCTATTTTAAAACTGTAGAGAACTATTTGAAAACCTTTATTTTATGTTAAACAAATAACTTTCTTATTAATACAATTAAAATAATTTTGTAAAAAAAATGGCCAGGCCAAAAAAGTAACTTGAAAAGTAAAATATTAAGCACTTAAATATGATTCATGTGGTTTAATTTGCTTTATTTAATGAACTATAAATATTGCTCTGTTTCTCGTCAAATTGTACTTATTTATGCACAATGTTATGTATGATTTTCTAATTTGTTTATATAACTTAATGTGCCTTTAATTTAATCCTTAAATTACGTATGTATATGATGTAGGTGTGCTTGAATAAAAAATAAATGTTAATGTATTATGTGTTTCATTAAGTAATATTATTCCTGTATAATGCACTTCTATCGATATCGATAAAATAAGAACACCACTAAACATCGATATCGATGATTTGAAGGATGTGTGCTTGCAATCTCTAAGCTATATTTTTTTTATTACTCATCTGTCAAAATGGGCGACTGCAGCGCCAAAAGGCATAGTTGGGAAACTTGACTAAAAGTAACCAAAAGTAACTGTCGTATCTGTAGCTTGCTACATATATATTTATATATGATTTTGATCTGTCATTGTGTGCGTTAGCTAGTGATGTACATTTTACTTACAAAGACTAACGAAAAATTATTGTTAAGAAAGTGGTAAAAAATAAATAAATTAGTGCACGAAATACAATAACTTCAAAAACTAACTGAATTTTTAACATGATAATCAAAAACAATTAATAAATAGTCATTATACATTTTCCCGGGAATAAGCTGCACCTACTTGCCTTTTGTTGGATTTTATATCCAAATGTACATAATTTAAAATTTTGTACAGCCGACTTCAATATGTGTTATTAAGAATAACTCAAAAAATATTGGTCAGATATTGATCAAATTCATATGGGAGCACGCGAGAAGTACCAGCTTCAAATAAAAAAAAAGAATTATCCAAATCGGTTCACCCAGTAAAAGGTTATGAGGTAACACACATAAAAAAACATAAGGTCGAATTGAGTACCTTCTCCTATTTGGAAGTCGGCAGAAAATCCCAATGACCTCTAAATAGGTGAGTCTATTGAATAAACTTAAACAGTTTTCCTAAGAATCAGATCGGAAATTTGTATTTTCGAGTTATGACCTTTGGTTGAAAACTTTACCTATGGACAGTTTCCCCGGAATTTCTTTTTTAACGTAACTTTGATCAGCTAAAAATAGGTAGATACTTAATTAAGTACATAGCTTTTTTTATGGGATAGGATGACAAACGAGCACATAGTCCACCTGATGGTAAGTGGCTGCTGTGGCCCATAGATATCTACATTTATCCTCGTTTGCGAATCAAAATACAGATGCGTTATCACCCGTGAGGACTAAGATGAAATGCCTCTTTTCCAGTAAAAAGGGTCTAGCTAACTATACTTCTATTTATAGGCTATTTATACTTCGATGGCAGCAAAGTAAAAACGGACATCTACAAAATCGCAATTTTACAGCAGAGCAGACTTAGTTAACAAATGTGGTCATTTTGAGATTTATGGACCGATTAACATGAAATTTTCTATGAAGAATTAAAATAGCAATTTTTATGAATTATGTAATAGTTTTTATCAATATGTTGTTATTTTACTAAAATAATTTAGATGTCTTTTTTACTTTAAAAACTTTGACGTAGAAGAAGACATATAATGGCTGCTTTATTTTTTATATAACTATTAATTTTAATCATTACAAACCTTTAATAATTAATAATTAAAAACATTTTGGAAATTAACACTAACATTTGACTTAAATATAAATTTAAACTTAATTTAAGTAAGGAAACTTAGTAGAAACAGTTAAATAATATTGTTAGGCTTATTAGGCTTGAATTAATATGTTTATTAGGATACTCTCTCTTTCATCTATCCTTGAAAAATAATAAACTTATTATCATTTTAGCTGCAAAAATTTAAAAATATTATGATCTTACACAGACTAGCCAAATACGCAGGAGATATTAAAGGTACCAGGTGTCTGAAAAAACAGATGCACTGTCTACTGTCTCAATCTCGGTATGTTAAAAAACGTTCACCTATCCATCCACTGAGAGCAACAAGTGCAGCTTAATCTCGCAGATGTATTGATCCGCGCAGCTGTTCATTAACTACGAGTTCCTCTTCTCTACGACTAACGCTGTAGGCAATAAACCATGCTATCAAGCCCTCGGCACACTGTCGTCGGGCATCAAGCATAAATCGGGCATCGGGCGCTGTGAGCATCAAATACACACAACACACTGGCACACAGAACTTCGCGCCTCATGCACGGGCATCTAGCGGTGCCTCAGAAGCATTACTAAATATCTATTTAGTAATGCTATCTTAAACGACTTTATTTCGTAGAGGAATAAGGGCAAATTAAGTAATTTAAATGTTGCTACTGATATGCTGATATATATATTTTTAAGTATCATAGTGTACTCTATGAAATTATTCAAACGTCATTTGAAATAATCAGGATAAATTAATTAAGACAGGGTAGTAAAGAATTACTTTACATAATTATGATCAATAAGGTGTAAAGGAATCATATCTTCTTCAATGTTACTTGAATGATCACTGTCACTTTCACTTTCATCACTATCACTGCCAACCCACAATAAAAAGCGATCACTTCCTTCATCCATTATTTTATCTTTGACTATGTACTCATCTTCAATTTTTATAACATGTGAGCACTTCTTTTTCCAAAGCTCATTGTTTATTGAACCAAACCCTTCTTTTATAAGTGATTCCATTTGATCATCTCTCTGGCCGGCATTTTTCTCTGCGAAACATCTCATCACAAAACTCCATATTAACTCAATTGGATTTAAATCAGCATGATATGGGGGAAGTCGCAAAACAAAAAAACCATGTGATTTTATTAATTCGTCAGCCTTATATATGGGCTCTGGTTTTTTTTATTAATTCATATAAAGAATTTTTGCCAAATTAGGTGAAAACAACAGCCCCTTGTCCCTTGTTTTGAAGCCACTCTACCATATCTGCTTTGAGGTTCGCCATATTAGGGCTTTTATTTATTTGTAAAGTATGATATGGTGCATTGTCCATTACAATCACACAATTAGGTGGCAGGTTTGGTAAAACTTATTTTTCCAGCCATTTTATAAAGTTGTCGCTATTCATGTCGTCATGATAGTCGGATGATTTTGTTTGCGACTTAAATAGCAGTAACGCATTATTAATGAAGCCGTCTGTAGTTCCAGCGTGTGCAATTATCCATCGTCTACCCGCACCAGAATCTCTGACCAATACACCTTCTTCAGACTCTGACTGCCAACATTTTAGCATCCAATATGAGGAATTAATAAACATCTAAATAGACAATAGTCCGCTCCTTTTCTCGATATTTTTTGATTTCATTCAAATAATTAAATCGCCAGGCAGCTATATCTGTTCGCTCCACTAACATTTTTCGTTTGGATTGACACTTTTTATATTTATATCCGAGTCGATTTAATATTTTCCATATTGTAGTACGCCCACCTTCAAAACTTATTTCATCTCGCAATTCGATAAGTAATTTGTGTAACGTAGGAATTTCTTTTCGTACTGTGTAAAATTACATAATTTATAGTCGAATTGCAGAAGCATCGAAGTCATCGATTTTGACCTTCTTATCACGATTTGGTTGTTTTTTTCCAGGTGTTGTTACTTTTGACGGACCAGGCACACCCCTTGAAACTGAACTGGTCTCTCTTTCTTGCCTTAAAATCGGGTTAAAGTAGATTCGGATACATCTGTAATCATTAAACAAATGGAATTTTATTTTACTAGTTTATAAATTTATTATATTTTAGTAACGTAAGTGACGTTATTAAAATATAGTACATAATATACTTACTTACATACAAATATTTTACTAAATAATTACTTACTTAGATAAACATATTTAAAATATGACCCACTACCATGCGATTCCGTAAAGATTAGTCTAAATCATTGTAACTGGTTACCCTATAAATATACCGGTCATGGCGGCAACTCTTGCACAAACTTGTTGCAAAAGAACAATCAACTTGTTTTCAGCCTTATCTTTTTCACAAAATGCGTAAACTTGAAGAAGAGTTTGCCTTTTAGCACTTTTTAGCACTTTCGGCATTTTTAAAACTAAGATTAAATTATTAAAAAGCAAAATAGCACATCGACAGCAACCGATCAAACTAAAAGAAAGATGGCGACTGAGCAGGGTGTTATAGTGCCACCAACTTACCTGTTCAGTTGACAGGTCGCTAGTGGAGTGCTTACTATTGCCATTTAAGAAATTCACCGAGGAATGAGGTAACTATATATTCATTACACATAATATAAAATAAAACAAATTTCGTGTTAATATATTAAAATTAGTGAGAAGTAGTGTTATTATTTATATTTTATAAAAATAATTGTGGTTGTGATCTCGGAGTTCAAGCGGCCGAATTTCAGGATTTGTGTTTTGAAAAATGTACCCGCGTAGCTAACGCGAGTTAATAATTCCAGTAATTCATCTTCTGAGTCACTAGAATCGCTTTCACCATTGCTGACACTCTATAATAAAGGGTTCATTTAAATACGCGTCTTTAAGTCTGTATTCATTTTCAATTTTTTTTACATGATTACAAATGTTTTTCCACTGCACCGGTGTAATTTTATGAAATTAATCTTCAATTAATTGGGGCATTAGAACATTAGCAACACAAACTACAAAGCTGGGTACTTAGACGAATTGCTGTAAATTGAGATTTTTTTAAAATATTTATATTATATTTTTAATGTTTCACAAGTACATTATTTGGTGATTTTAATTTTCCATATCTGGCAATACTAACCTGTCGTGGCAGCAACGCGTTCATACAGCTTTTCAAATGGTATAGTTGGGACTTGTACACGTTTCTCTTGTTTCATAAAAGATAAAACTTTTAGGATAATCTATCGCGCATCACTTTTAAGACCTTTAGGCATTTTATTTACACTTTTTTAAAACACTCACCTGATAGCTCAGAATAAATAATAACTGACTGAAAAATGTCATTTACTAAATGGCGGCTTTAGTTCTAATTTTGTCTACCTGAACAGATAAGTTGGTGGCACTATACAACTCTGTATGAAACCCGAGAAACTTGCACACAATCATAATTTTATCTATGTGTGGATTGGGCGTGTAAAATTAAAGCGAGAAAAAGATATCGCTATTTCTTTCTTTCGCGTTGTTTCAGATTGCCATTTTAAAAAAGAGATACAAAGATATATATTATATCGGAAAAAACTGAAAATGTTAATTCTGTGTTAAACTTTTTTATTAGTTGCTTATTAGAGTACTCACCTGATAGCTCAGAATAAATAATAACTGACTGAAAAATGTCATTTACAAAATGGCGGCTTTAGTTCTAATTTTGTCTACCTGAACAGATAAGTTGGTGGCACTATACAACTCTGTATGAAACCCGAGAAACTTGCACACAATCATAATTTTATCTATGTGTGGATTGGGCGTGTAAAATTAAAGCGAGAAAAAGATATCGCTATTTCTTTCTTTCGCGTTGTTTCAGATTGCCATTTTAAAAAAGAGATACTAAAATATATATTATATCGGAAAAAACTGAAAATGTTAATTCTGTGTTAAACTTTTTTTATTGGTTGCTTATTAGAGTATAATTACATACATATAACTCTGAGATTTGCACAATTAATTCACCTATTAATTGATTAAAATCGAAATATTAAAATAAATATAAACAGAATTCTATCAAAAGAAGCCATGACTTAAAAGAAGAAAAAATATGACATTTGTTTGTCAACGTCTTTCATAGTGAAGATATTTTCTGAAATTTATTAAAATTTTGTTCATAGGATTAGTTTATAATATTTATTATTGATTTTTGCTTAAATTCAGTTATTATGGACTTCATTTTTGTATGTAGTTGAATACACAGTCATAATATCGTCGTGAATATACAGTAAATATTTTTTGTGGGATGTTAACTCAGTATAAGATATTGAATATAAATAAATTATTATTTCAAAGTTTTACACGATTTGTAATCATCATCAAAAGTTAGTTAAGTGTTGTGCAAATAAAAAGCACAAAATCATCTGGTCACTGTCTGCAGGTTTCCTATGATAGGAAAAGAAAAACTTATGACAATATTGTGGTAAGTCTATAAACATTTTGAATTTATTGGCCGTTATTTGTAGGGATTATTGCTATATTGACTCGAATTGTATCTGTTTCAGATCACGTATTTGGGATGAGTTAAGTTTTCATCATGAGAATTTTGCTGATTTAAATTTACGTTAATGTTATGTGAAGAATATCTCTCTAACAATATATCAGTAACAAGCGTGGAAATATTATGTACAAAAGAAATAAAAGACATCAATAATAATGTATAGTTTATAAAACAATCTGTCTGCCAGAAAATAAAATTACATAACTATACTTATTTATAGTTTTATTTTATCCCACATACTAATCTAAAGTATATTCGAGTATTTTTGGTGCAACCTCTCAAATACGAGTATATGGGAATTTACCCCATAGGTTTGTGAGGCTTGAGCCAAAATTACTCGAATATGCCTTAAATAAAAAGTTTTAAGTTACAGAAAACAAAGGTTTGAAATTCCCGCTAATAAAGTTTTATATGGGCGTCCACTGTAGCGCTTTTAGTGTAGACTCATAAACACGTGTTTCCGTTTTTTAGTATGAAGTTGGCGTTCTTCTCTTGTTAGAGAGTAATTGTGTTCTGTGCGACTGTGAGTAAACAATGCTAACAACCACTCACGCGTGAAGTTAAGATGAACGGACAATAATCAATTTTGATCTGTCATTGTGTGCGTTAGTTACCACTAACTAACGCACACAATTACAAGTACATTTTACTTACAAAGACTAACGAAAAATTATTGTTAAGAAAGTGGTAAAAAATAAATAAATTAGTGCACGAAATACAATAACTTCAAAAACTAACTGAATTTTTAACATGATAATCAAAAACAATTAATAAATAGTCATTATACATTTTCCCGGGAATAAGCTGCACCTACTTGCCTTTTGTTGGATTTTATATCCAAATGTACATAATTTAAAATTTTGTACAGCCGACTTCAATATGTGTTATTAAGAATAACTCAAAAATATTGGTCAGATATTGATCAAATTCATATGGGAGCACGCGAGAAGTACCAGCTTCAAATAAAAAAAAAGAATTATCCAAATCGGTTCACCCAGTAAAAGGTTATGAGGTAACACACATAAAAAAACATAAGGTCGAATTGAGTACCTTCTCCTATTTGGAAGTCGGCAGAAAATCCCAATGACCTCTAAATAGGTGAGTCTATTGAATAAACTTAAACAGTTTTCCTAAGAATCAGATCGGAAATTTGTATTTTCGAGTTATGACCTTTGGTTGAAAACTTTACCTATGGACAGTTTCCCCGGAATTTCTTTTTTAACGTAACTTTGATCAGCTAAAAATAGGTAGATACTTAATTAAGTACATAGCTTTTTTTATGGGATAGGATGACAAACGAGCACATAGTCCACCTGATGGTAAGTGGCTGCTGTGGCCCATAGATATCTACATTTATCCTCGTTTGCGAATCAAAATACAGATGCGTTATCACCCGTGAGGACTAAGATGGAATGCCTCTTTTCCAGTAAAAAGGGTCTAGCTAATTATACTTCTATTTATAGGCTATTTATACTTCGATGGAAGCAAAGTAAAAACGGACATCTACAAAATCGCAATTTTACAGCAGAGCAGATTTAGTTAACAAATGTGGTCATTTTGAGATTTATGGACCGATTAACATGAAATTTTCTATGAAGAATTAAAATAGCAATTTTTATGAATTATGTAATAGTTTTTATCAATATGTTGTTATTTTACTAAAATAATTTAGATGTCTTTTTTACTTTAAAAACTTTGACGTAGAAGAAGACATCTGCCTGGTATCCGTTTTGTGCACGACGCAACAATATTAAACAAACGAAAGAAAATGCTTATTGTAACCGGCGCTAGTTGAACAACCTAGGAGCGGTGGGCGGAGCCATGACGACGGTGTAATTATCAGGCCACGCCTCTGGTTCGACAACTAGCAAGGGTTATACGGCGGAACTAGCGCAACCTTATGTTGAATTTAAATTATAATTTGTGTAAATAATTGTATTACTTGTATCGAACGATAAAAAATAATGATTGTATTATAACTAAGTTTAAGGTTGAGTTGTAACTGTGCAATAACTCTCCCAAATAAAGGCACCGTATGAACAGGGAGAGTTAGCATAGTCTTCAAATGAAAACTGTAATTGTTAAATATAATAAATGTTTACTTTATTATATAATAAATATATTAGGCCGTTAGGCACATAAAATAATAGTAGTAGTGTAACCAAAGAGCATGTTATCGTGACGCGGCCGCGGAGCAAATGAAGCCACGCGCACCGCGCCACGACGTTTTATATTTATAGTGCTGAGGCGGGGGGAAGGATTCTCCGCCTAAAGCAGCTGAAAATTATAATGTAAACCTGTAAATAAGTAAAAATATTGATATGTACACCCTAGTCTAACAAGTAGTTATAAGAATATTATATAGTGAATTATGTTTATTAGTTTGTAAGGTTATTAAATAAATAAAGATAGGCGCGGGGGTGAGGCAAGGGTCCGCTGGCCAGCAGCGGCCAAATCATATAAAAGACGGGCCGGCCGCTAGGGTCAGCAGTCGCTCTCCAGCCACCGAAAAGGCACCAGCAAGAAAAGAAAAAGTACAAGTTCCTCCTCACCGCCGCTTGCCTCCAGTTAAAAGCAAGACCAGCGCGTTTTATTCCATTTTTCGCACGGCATTACGGCGATCCGTAATATTAATGGTCCTTCGAGAAGCCGGATTACTAGAAGAAAAAGACAATATCGGTCTTGGTATTGCCGGAAGAAAGAAGCAAACCGCAAGAACGAAAAAATATTATTGTGAAGAAAAATGGTGATTACGCGTAGTAACAACGGAGAATCATCGAAGCGTCGCAAGGATGAACAAACAACCCAGGGGGCCACAGAAGAGGCCTCCGGGGGCGACTCAGCCGCTAGTGGTTCAACAAACACCACTAGCGAAACCACAACGGTCAGCGAT